TTCAGTCATATAAAGTCTAGTTCAACAAGATTTGGGCCTTATCCACATTAGAAAAAGAATCTGCCAACATAGAGTAACCTTCCTTTTACATGCCTAATATTTTATAATCAGTTATGTAAGTCGAGCTTGCATAAGTCAACTTATCAGTTGCGTAAGTCAAACTTGAAAAATAGAATTGGTAGAGAATACATCGGGAATAAATAATTACTACAAATAATGACCTATAAATATTCCAACAAATAGACATTTAAGAAATAAGCTCCTTTTTCATTGTGGTTTACAGAATTTAGCAGAGAAGAACACAAAGGAACTTGATGCTTGGTTAGCTAGACCTAAATGAAAAAGATTTCTTTTCTAAGGGCACACACACAAAAAACCCCATGATAAATAAACCAGTGTTCCCCAACCTCTACTACCTCTCCACCCTCAACTATGGATAAATCAGTATCAAACTGGTCATTTGGGCTTACCTTCTCTCCTTTCCTTAAGTCCCAGATGAAAACATGTTCACAAGCTGGCACTGCCACATAGCGTCCCTTCTCACCACGAAGTGTCACAAAGACAATATTACCTTTTTGGCTGCCAATCAGGCCAAAGACTGCACTAGCAACATAGCGCAGGTACTGCTTGGTGAGCCCCATGTGATGATGTCTGATACCACGGGTGAGGCAATCTGTGCATACAAACAAAGAAAACTCAGCTCTTTGGGTGCCTTGGATCTACTAGGTTAGTAAACACCAACTCTTTTTTTTGAGACAGAGTCTTACTCTATTGCCCAGACTGGAGTGCAGTGGCGGGATCTCGGCTCACGCAGACTCCACCTCCTGGGTTCAAGTGATTCTCCTGCCTCAGCCTCCCAAGTAGCTGGGACTCCAGGCATGCACCACCATACCAGGCTAATTTTTTTTTTTTTTAAATAGTGATGGGATTTCACCATGTTGGCCAGGCTGGTCTCAAACTCCTGACCTCAAGTGATCCACCCACCACAGCCTTCCAGAGTGCTGGGATTACAAGCATGAGCCACCACGTCCGAACAACACCAACTGTTTATCATGTCATTAAAAGCATGTAACTTGTGACTTCTTAATCTTTATTTACTCTGAATAAATCACTGACGTAAAATACCTGGACAACTTCATTTTTTATTCACATGGACTCAGTGTAATCCCTCATTCCTTAAGATCCAAATTAGTCACATTGTCATACCCACCTCGTACATATCTGACACTATAGACTCAATGCAACTAAGCTAATTCACTTCTGCCCATTCAACTGACATCAAAGCTTTTACACAGAGATTGGCGGCCTGAAACTGAACATATTTTTCAATGAACATTTACTGTGAACCTACCATTTAGGAACCGTTCTAGACACTGGAAACATACTATTAATAAGGCAAAATCCCTAACCTCATGGTATTTAACTTCTCAGGCAACGGTTCTCTAACTCTAGCATATCTCCAAATCACCTGGAGGGCTTATGACAACATTGCTAGGAAATACCATCTCATCTCTTCTCCCAGTACCTGTTTCTGAAGTCTGGGGAAGGGCCTAGAATTTTTCATTTCTAACAAGTTTCCAAGTGATGTTGCTGTTGCGGTTCCTGGACCAAACTTTGAGAACTACTGTTCTAGTCCATGAAAGTCTGTCCTTCATTTCAAAATCAGAGCAGCCACTTACCCTTGGCACAGAAAATGGTTGAGCAACTTGGCACACTATTTTTGGAAAGATGCCATAATTTCTGCACTTTTATTAAATTCACTGAAAACACTGGTTATGGATAGAAGGGACAAGAGGTCAATGAAGGAGATAACAAATCAGTCCTGTCTGTTCTTTACATGGAAGAGTAAAAAGTAGCCTCCGAAACACCCATGTAACTTAAAACACACAAAAATAAAGAAGTTACAGCCTTTTATGAGGAGCTGTTTCTTTTTGCTGTTGTTTGTTTCTTTGGTGGTTGGCTGGTTTAACTCTACAGGGTCTTTCTAATTTTATCAAATGCTGTTTTAGTCAACTTTAACAAAAAAGATTTTCAATCCCAACTCTCTAAGGAAAGATAATATTAACATGGTGATAATGTTCTTAGCTTAGGCCATTTGATTAATTGTTTCAAATGGAATTTGAATTGTTTCCCAATTCTTCTTATTCCTCCAGACTCTGTAGTTGTTCTTCATGTTTGTCTTTGGCCATCTACCACCTCCTTCTATGGTATTTTCCTTGGAGAATACATATAGCATGAGTAGGTCCAGGGACTCCCATCTGTCTATTTCCAGTCCTGTCCACCTACATAAATACTAATTACAGAGTTTCAAATATTTACTGAATATCTGCATTTGATACCTTATAGTTTCACATTTAACATGTCTATAACCAAGCCAACCTCACTTCTGTTACTCCTCTCTTTTTGTCTGACACAACGACACAATTTTCCTACCTACTCAGGCTCAAAACCACTTAATAACCTTTGAATCATTAATAAAAAATATTCTTTGGGAGGCCAAGGCAAGCAGATCACGAGATCAAGAGATCGAGACCATCCTGGCCAACATGGTGAAACCCAGTCTCTACTAAAATACAAAAATTAGCTGGGCATGGTGGCACGCTCCTGTAGTCTCAGTTACTTGGGAGACTGAGGCAGGAGAATTGCTTGAACCCAGGAGGCGGAGGTTGCAGTGAGCCGAGATTGCGCCACTGCATTCCAGCCTAGTGCCTGGCGACAGAGCGAGACTCTGTCTCAAAAAATAAAATAAATTTTAAAAAATAAAAAATAACAGTATAGCAGCCAAGACTTACAGAGTGCTTATGCTATAGTAACTGATAACATTAAATGTATATAATCTTAGTAAACATATGCAATCGTTTAATTACATACGGCAATTAATGAAATGAGCTAACATAAGTAAAGCACTTAGAAAAGCCTCGAATTCACTATAAATATAACTATAAAAAAATACCTGTCAGGACCTGGTGTGGTGGTTTATGCCTGTAATGCCATCATTTTGGAAGGCTGAGGCAGGCTGATGGCTTGAGTCAAGAGTTTCAGACCAACATGGGAAACACAGCAAGACTCTATCTCTACAAAACACTTTTTAAAAAATTAAGCAGGCATGGCGGCGAACCCAGGAGGCTGAGGCAGAAAGATCACTTGAGTCCCGAAGTTCGAGGCTGCAGTGACCTATGACCACGCCACTGCACTGCAGCCTGGGTGACAGTGAGACTCTGTCTCTAAAAATAAATAAACCAATTCTGCACAATAACACTGCAAGGGAGGTCACTCTTCCTCTCTCTATTTTACAGACAAGGGAACAGACCCAGAGATGGTAAACTGCTAACCCAAAGTCATTTAGCATCTAAGTGCCAAAGCCAGATCCCAATTCAGCCAGTCTAATTTCAAAATTTCTGCTTTTAACCACTATACTAAACTGCTTCTTTTTGCCTCTTTAGTCAACTCCACCTGATTGTTAGTCTGAAGCAGGATCCCTTTTTCTCCAGTACTTTCAGTTCCAGCTCTTTATCACTGGGTTACTGCACTGATTTTTCACCTAGCACCTCCGCCTCCATTTTTTTCACTCTTTTCATTTAAAAGTCATAATACTACTGAGTAATCTTTTCAAATGAGCTTTCCCTATTCCAAAGACTTGAAAAGGCTAAATCGTTTGCCAGTTTCCAAAAACTCATCCTATCTATCCTCCGCATTTCTCGAATAAACCTTCTTGTCAAAGCTGGCTAGTTTCCTTCCTCGTCCTGAGACCTCGTTGTCTTCACATTATTCGTTTTACTTAAAATAACATGCATTCTCTACCCTACTTATTTTAATTAGTGTTATTCTCTGAAACCCACTTCCTTTGGAGTAAACCCAGTTCTCGCAGCCTTTTTTCATCGCCTCGATATTTAAACTACCTCCCACACGACTCGCACTGTTCACTTTGTTCCACGTGCACAGCTTTCGCCTCCTTTCCGACCGCTCACCACCAAACCTTCGTCGACTGAGACCCCATCACCTCCGCTTCCTAACCCACAGCCCCCAAAATGATGTTTCTGTGATGCACTGAAGGCCTGGACAGACTTGACACACACTCCAAAACGCGTCTTCGGTCAGGAGAGGGTGACGGAGGGTTCCAGACACCGAACGCACGGTCAGATCACCCTCGGGCAAGCGCGGGCACACGATCGGTCAGGCAGTTCTGCTCAGCCCCCGCCACCCGCGCCGAGTAGCCAAGGGGCTTCCAAGTACTGCTGTGGGGACGCCCGTAGTCACCTGAGTTCCCCCGACCCTAGCAACCGGCCGTAAATACGCCCGCCTCGGCTGCTGCCGACATCACGAATGCCTCAGCCGGAATCTTCAAAGTCCAAACCGCACGGAAAAGGCTCTCAGCCCCAGCAGTGCACCTCCAAGACTCACCTCAGCTTCCACGAGGCTCCCAGCCGATTGGACCCGCCCACGAGACCAGCCCCTTCCGGGTCCGTTCCGGAAGCCTCTTCCGCCAGACGTTCCATTTGCCCTCTAAGAGGAAATGACGGAAGAAGCCGGGCGCTGATTGGTGAGCTCTGGCCGGGAGCGGAAGCCGGCGTTTCGCAGCCCAGAGCGTTTGGAGCTGGTCACTCCAGCCTCCAGGGACTTTGCCTCGCCCTACCCGGCGCGCTCCTGCTGAGGGTCGCTCGGAGATGTCGCTCGGCCGCCTTCTACCTGGAGCTTGATCCGTCCCGCCCGCCGACCGCATGGGACCGCCGGAGTGCTGTGAGAGGCGGGACGGAGGCCGGGAGGGAAGGCGGGGCGGAGAGGGCCGGGGGCGCGGCCCCAGGCGCACGGGACTCGGCCCTGGTCGGCGGCGCGGGTTGAGGGTTAGTTGTGGAAGAATGAGCCTGGCACCACTTCCTCGCCCGTCGGCTAGGTTCTTGCCGAGCGTTGTCGGGGTCGCTGTGTGGACGAGAAGTGAAAGGGTCGGCAGTCAGCAGGCACTAGGGACAGAGGTGCTGTAGCCGAGGAGGCGCGCGCCCTAGGGTGCAGGTGAAATCGGGGAGGCCGGGGCTCTTGCTGGTGGTAGCCCCAGAGACAAGTCCCTGCTGCCGCTCCTGTGGACTGGACATTCCACGAGCCGAGAGCACCCCAGGGAAGGGGTGGGCGGACGCTGAGCCCGGGATGGTGCGCTGTCTGGGTTCCCGCAATCCTTAGGGGGACACTGGCCTGGCTTTGTGTTTCCGCTCTCCGGCCGCTTGAGGGGAAGTGACCGGGGCTGACTCCTTGTTTGCTGACCGAGACTTCAGTGCTCTGTCACCAGGTGGGGATTTAGCTTTTCTGTCTTGCAGTTCTGCTACTTTTATTCTTGAGCCGCATAGAAGTGTTTAGAAATGAGTTCTGATGTCTAGAGCTGTGCAAAATGAAAGCTAACATAGCTGTACAAAAGAAGATCCTGCCAGCGCTTCTTGAACACGTTATCTGCAGCCAGCCTAGAAAGTAGACTCTTGCCTACATTATCTGATTTTCTTTAGAGTTTCTTGAGCTTAAGGCGTGTTCAGCTAATCTTTCGTATTCAAGAAAATTGCAACAACAAAGAATGCATGGGATGAGACTGGACAGCTGTAGCAGCATAGGTGTTTTGAAACAGGATTGCTGTGGATTGGATGAATGAGAAGGGAAGAAATTGTGACCACAAACTATTATTTTAAGAAGTTTGGTTGGAAAGGAAGCATTTGAGTGGGTGTGTTTGGTTAATATCCCTGACAGGTGTTGTGCCTTATATTATTATTGGGGTAAAGTGTGTGCTTCAGTAGAAAACGGCACAGTTTAGATTCTATCTTAATAACACCCCTTGGATTAACTAATTCTAAAAAAGCTATTTTTCAGTTATGTAAACTGTAAGTAACTGACATCAATGCTAAATAATTTTTGTCAAGAGCTGCAAATTCTCTTCTCTCAGAGGTTCAGTAGAAGTTTTGCCTCCTTTTACACATTTATTTCAATATTCCTGCTCTAAGGTGTCTAATTGTGGGATGTGCTTTATCTTCTGCCTGGTTCCCTTTTGAGTTAAATAAGATATTGAACATGGGTTTGGTTTTATATTTGAATGAGTCATGATTTTACCTTTTCTTAAACATTTTTCTTAACATAATTAAATATTATGGGATGGGACAACCACAGATGGACAAAATGATTTTAATAAGAGTTGGTATCAGAGTAACTGTGAGTGCTAAGGTAATGCATCTTATAAAATTCCTTATACAATATTTCGAAGTTATAACTCTATCTTCTTGTTTTAGTTTCAAAATGCTCAGTATATCAATACTTAACAATTAAGGCATAATACAGTTCATTTAATATAAAAGGATACTACTAATTCACTGTTAGAACATGTTCTTTGGGTGCTTTTGAATGGTGATGTTAAATTTGACCCAGGCCATTGACAAGCTTAGGAATGTTCTTATACTGTTTTTATTGTTGACATATTTGACTACTTCAGTTAGTCTTCCAATCGAAAATCTTTTTTTTAAAGAGCTTTTTTTTTTTTTTTTAAATGAAACAGAGTCTCACTCTGTCGCCAGGCTGTAGTGCAGTGGCGAGATCTCGGCTCTCTACAGCTTCCAACTCCTTGGTTCAAGAGTTTCTCCTGCCTCAGCCTCCCAAGTAGCTGGGATTACAGGCATGCCCAGCTAATTTTTGTGTTTTTAGCAGAGACGAAGTTTCACCATGTTGGTCAGTCTGGTCTTGAACTCCTGACCTCAGGTGATCCACCCACCTTGGCCTCCCAAAGTGTCGAGATTACAGGCGTGAGCCACCTCGCCCAGCCTTATAAATGTCATTCTTTCTGATGGCTTAAAATGATTCTTAAGTATGGTATTGGATGATGGCATAAAACGAGTTTTAAGTATGGTGTGCACACATACTTACAATGTACACACATAATGTACTCTGAACTGTTAAATATTGAAATACAAAGACATAAAGAATGGTAAACCTGGTAATTAATGGTGGTCGAGTGCATGCAGCAGCTCTCTTTGTACGGTTGTTATTCAGACTGGTCTGATCAATGTAAGCATTTCGAAAGGTAAACAGGTTAAAATTTACCGTTTTTCTCTCTTAAATGATATCATTTTTTTTTTTTATTCAGACGAAAAGGATTTTTGAGACAGTGATCCAAGGTGTTAGGCAATTTTGCCCAGTTTTGAACAATAAAATCTGATCTCTAGCCAATCCAATGATTCATATTAAACAGTATTTAAAGGACTTCTTAAACTAAAAGATGACAGGATTTGAGGAAAAAGAGACAGAAGTTATAGTGTAATGAGAGCTGTTTACACTGTACTCTTTGAATTATAAAGGATACATAGTAGGTTATCTTGGTCTTTAGGTCATCTTCACTAAAGTACTGAAGATCATATGACAATGGAAATATATCTGATTCATTGTGGAATCTTCTGTTTGTCCCATATAGACTTTTTAATCCTTGGAAATTAATATCTTGCTTCAAGAAACTTAAAAAAAATTTTTTTTAACTAGGGCTTAGTGTTTGTTCATAAACTTATTCAAAGTACAGAGCTGATCCACTGATTTTGAGTGGACAGTCTTGCTCTCTTTTAATGTCACCAAAAATTCTGGCTGTGGCTGTAAATTACTGGCTAGAGGAGTCTTCTTCTCTCTTCGTCACTTGAGCATGTTTGCATTCTATCACTGAGATTCTTAACTGAAACTTATTTACAAGTCTGCTTTTCGTACACAAACATTTTGGGGAGTGAAAGGATCCGTATCTTTCATGTGATTCTCAAAGGGTCCTGTGACCTTGAGAATGCTGAAAACCACTGTTCTCTCAGGGATCAGGTTTTCCTGCCTAGCTTGGGTTTGCGGCTCCATCTACTTATTACCAAGGTGTATGTGTGTTTAGGGGAGGGGGGGATTCAAACCTCTTTTTGTTGAGAAACATCCATTTCTGTTTAGAGATGGAGTTGAAAAAGAATTCAACTTTTGTCAAATACTGTGACACTTTCCATAAAATGCCATTTAATTTTGTCCTACAATAAGAGCTTTGAACATTACTTTTACTTATTTAACATCCAATATCTTGTGGGCCACAATTACTTAAAAGGTGGGAAAAAGATCCAACAAATTCTACTGACAAGGTATGATCAGGGATAAAGGAGAACCACCAGGGTGTGCTGTCAAAGAAGATAATAGAGTTTTGAGAAGGAAATGGTCAGTGATAAACGTGGATAAAATTGGATTACTTCTTGGATTTGACATTTGGGAAGTTATTGCTGACCTTTGGAAGAGCAGTATTAGCGTAGCTGTATAGCAGAAGCAAAACTGCAGTAGGCTGAGCAAATGTATGAAGAGGAAGCAGAGCTGCAAAACAAATTACCCTTAAAAAGTTCAGTAGTAGGCCGGGCACGGCGGCTCACGCCTGTAATCCCAACACTTTGGGAGGCTGAGGCGGGTGGATCACGAGGTCAAGAGATCGAGACCATCCTGGTCAACATGGTGAAACCCCGTCTCTACTAAAAATACAAAAATTAGCTGGGCATGGTGGCACGTGCCTGTAATCCCAGCTACTCAGGAGGCTGAGGCAGGAGAATTGCCTGAACCCAGGAGGCAGAGGTTGCGGTGAGCCGAGATCATGCCATTGCACTCCAGCCTGGGTAACGAGCGAAACTCCGTCTCAAAAAAAAAAAAAAAAGTTTAGTAGTTAAAAAAAGAGGAGTTTAATATGCTGAAGAAGAAATGAAGTAGAAGAAATAAAGAAGAACTTTTTTGAGAACAGGAAGATGGAGAGAAAGGAAAAAGCAAGATGAAATTGTAAAAGGAGAATTTGTGTTATAACACTCTCTTACAAGGAGAAATGGTCAAATGAAGGAAGTTGCTTAAATTAAGGTGATTTGGCAAGCTTAAAAGTGTGGAATATACCTTCAAATCACTTGTAAGTTGGAAACAGTGAATGATTTCGAATTGGAGGGAAGTTAAGGTAATTGCTCTCCTATGCAGTTTTGACACCAGTTATCTCATTTAAAAATGCTCACAATAATCTTAAGAGAATTACCCTTATTTTAGAAATTAAAAAAAAAAACAACTATTTTTGAGTCAAGGATAACAGAACTATTAAGTGACAGTGCTGGATCCAAACTCAGACCCTGTGACAACAGTCCGAACTCTCACATTGAACCGAGCTGTCTCCACCTCACTGCGTAATTGCATGGGGAAATATTTACCTTAAACCACTAAAGAAGCTGGATTCAAAATTGTGTCAGTATGATTTTACCTATCACAGAGAAAGGTAGTAACTATATCAAAAGTTGAGGAATTTTTTCCTCCTCCTTAAAAGAAGAAACCAAAATTCCTTCTTTTCTTTTCTTTTTTGAGATAGATTTGCTCTGTCACCCATGCTGGAGTAGAGTGGTGTAATCTTGGTTCACTGCAACCTCCACCTCATGGGCTCAAGCAGTTCTCCTGCCTCAGCCACCTAAGTAGCTGGGACTGCAGATGCATGCCACCACACCTGGCTAATTTTTTGTATTATTGTATAGATGGGTCAAACTAAGTTGCCCAGGCTGGTCTCAAACTCCTGGGCTCAAGTGATCTGCCCTGCTCGGCCTCCCAAAGTGCTGAGATTACACGTGTGAGCCACTGTGTCCAGCCAATTTGATGTTTTTCAAATGTTCTGTAAGCTTGTATTACTTAGAAAGAAAAGTTATCTTAAAAAAGCAATTTTGTTCTGAATGTTGGCATTCAAGTTTGGAAACTGAAAACTGTGTTTGTGTTTAATGGATTTTTTTTTTTTAAGATTATGGTTAAGAACCTTCAGTATGAGTCCTTGTCATAAAAAATCTGCAGATAATTTTTTGAAATTATGAACTTGTACCAAGTGTCATTCCATTGAGCATGAGGCAGTTTTAACGATGATAGATGAATATGGTCTTCATTTGTCCTCTGTTCAGCTTATCCTTTTTAAGTCTGAATACTTACGAACAGATCAACAAAACTTGTGGGAAGGCCAATTTGATGGACTAAACACCAACTTCTAGGTAAAGTTAGTTTCTTTATTTCAAAGTAATTTCAGAGGTGTATTCAGTGTCAAATAAGAATAGTCTTCTCATACAAATTTGTCATGGTATAACCTACAAGGCCTTTCTGAAATTGTTATGTAAATGATCACATTTCCTGTTCCACAGTGTTGATTCAGGAATTAGCATGTTACACTAGATCCATGTTTTGTTCCAATGAGTATCCCATGTCTCTCAGCAGGAAACTTCACGAAATGTATTATGGAAGGGCATGCTTGTTCTCTTTGATAAAAAACATTAGAACCATGCTGAAAAACTTCTCAAAAAATTTCAGGAGATCATGTCCTTTGCAGCAACATAGATGGAGCTAGAGGCCATTATCCTAAGCAAACTAATGCAGGAACAGAAAACCACCTACTGGTCTCACTTATAACTGGGAGCTATACAGTGAGAACACATGGACACAAAGAAGGGAATAACAGACACTGGGACCTACTTGAGGGTGAAAGGTGGGAATAGGGAGAGGATCAAAAAACTACCCATCAGGTACAAGGCTTATTGCCTAGGAGATGTAATAATCTGTATACCAGACCCCTATGACATGCAATTTACCTATTTAACTAACCTGCATATGTACCCATGAACCTGAAAGTTAAAAAAAGAAAGAACCAAGAGAAAAGAAGAGAGAATCTGAAATTATGTGCCTCCTGATGAAAGACACACCATCTCATATAATCTTGGCAGAACTGACTAACAAGAAAGTTTCAAATAACAATATGCAAGCAACAAAATCCAGACTGTGGGACACTACAGTTTCAGCAAATAAATTTTACAGAAAAGGAAAGGTTGGATGGGGACTTGTAGATTAAAAAAGATGTAAGATATACATTAAAATGTTTTAAATGTCTAATATGAAACTATGGTTTCTGGGGATACACACTTAGGTGAAAAAGCTATATGAGTATATAAGAAAGTGATTAAAAGTCCTCGTAGTAGTTACTTTGAGGGACAGGAAGGGGTTGAGATCATGACAGATCACATGGAGGTACCTCTGGGTGCCTGCACAGTTCTATTTCCTGACTTGGGTGGTGGTTTCCTTTATAATAGCTCATTAAACTGTGCATTTATTTGGAGGGAGAAAAGTTTACATGCCAACTTTCTTTCCCTGATCATCTGTCTGCCCTTATATATTTCATGTTACCAACAACCTCCAACTTATTAAACCGTTAATCAGTTCTTAGTCCTGTTACTCAGCGTTTCAGTAGCATTTAACTGACATCTCAAGTACTCCTTGACATGTTTTCTTCGCTTGGTTTTTAGGCTGCCGCACTTCCCTGGCTTACTTTCCTTTCTTAGCAGTCCTTCTCCATTTTACTTTCTGACTTGTCCTCTTTCCAACCTCTAGATTTTGTTGTAGGACTCAGTCCTTGGATCTCTTTTCTCTGTTTGCATTTACTCTCTAGGCAGTCTTGTCTAGTTCCTATAGCTGTAAATACCACCCATATGCCAAGCCTTCCAAATTTATATCTTTAGCCCCATCTTCTGTGAGCTCTAGCCTCATGTAACCAATTTGCATGTTTGACATAAACACTTGGTGATAGAATGAGCATCTCAAACTCAGCACACCCGGCTCACGCCTGTAATCCAAGCACTTTGGAGGCCAAGGTGAGCAGATCACCTGAGGTCAGGAGTTCAAGACCAGCCTGACCAACATGGTGAAACCCTGTCTTTATTTAAAGAAAAAAGAAGAAGAAAAACCACTGGTTATCACTCTGCCCTACAACCTACTCTAATTTTCTGCATTCTCTGTAAGTAGCATAACATTACTCAATTGTGTAAGCAAGTAATCCAGAAGTTATCTTTGGTTCTGTTCTTTCTCCCTACTGTCTATATTCATGAAGTAAGTCTTGTTGACTTCGTCTTCAAAATATGTTCAGAATCTGATGTTTCTTATCACTACCATCTCACCTAAATTACTGCAGTCATTTTCTATTGGTCTCTACACCTACTCTTGCCCTTTCTCAGTTTCATTGTAGCTAGAGTATTCTTTTCAAATATTATTTATGTTTAATAATTGCCATGCACAAGATCCTCTAACAGCATCTCCTAATATTTAGAATAAGATTTAAACTTTTTACCATGGCTTACAAACTGTATCCTCTGGCCTTTCCTTCTCTTACCAACCTCATCATCTACCACTCATCACCTGGCTTATTCTGCTCTACCTAAACTGACCTCCTTGCTTGTCCTGTAATATACCAAGATCCTTCCTGCCTTTTTGGCCTTTGCCTGAAACATCCTTCAGAGCTTCATGTGGCTTGCTCTCATTGTATCTTTCTACTCAGATGTTACCTGTTCTCTCATAATCCTTATTTCCTCTAGTCATTCTGTTAGATACCTGCCTGTTTCTTTACCATTTATCATTTTCTGTCGTCTCCATGGGAGCATAAGCTCCCTAAGGGGAGGGACTTGTTCTTTTTCACCAGTGTATGCCCAGTGCCTGCAATAGTATCTAACATATAATAGATGCTTGCAAAGATTTTTTTTTGTTTTTTTCTGAGATGGAGTTTTACTCTTGTTGCCGAGGCTGCAGTGCCATGGTGCCATATGAAGATTTATTTGATGAATGAATATACCATTTTACTGAAATAGCTGTTTGACTCATAGGCAAATTGGTTCTCCTTTTCTCTGGCAACAAAGAATTTCCCATTACTTCTGTCTAGTACTTGACAGTATGTCTTCCAACACCCTCCTCTTCTAATGTCAGTATTTCAGCACAACCAGCCACCTACCATATCACTGTCTTACACATCATATCCTATAAATTGTCAACTCCTGTTCATCCTTCCTTTGCATGTTGCCTCTTAAATGTGCGCCTCTTTCTGTATCCCCTTTCCTAGTTAAAACCTTTATCATCTCTTACTGCTTGATTGCAGTAACCTCCTGCTTCTCATTATCATCATTATCATCAGACTTTAAATTATATATACCATTTATATTTGCATCTCTTGCAGTGTCTGTCACTTTTTGTTTTTTCAGTAGCAGGCACTCAGTGAATGTTGGATGAATAATCCTGTTTCTGGAAAGCAGAATTGATGGGCCATGTGATTATTTTAATGGCTATAATTCTTTGAAAAGAATTTATGCTCAAATAATCACTCCTTAATCCTGTTTTGGAAATGCTGTAGCAATTCTTTGTTGTCCATTGTTTTTAATGGACTTTTTAAGTGACTGTAATTACATAATACACCAATGGGGTATTTCACAGTGGAATTTTGTTTACTGCTTTAATAAAATTCGAGTAATATCTGTGTTTCTCTATTAAAATGATTCTTTCTTTTCTCTTAAGCTAAAGTCTCCAGTGAATATTGAATTGCTGAGGAATTTGGGAAAAGACAAATCAAAGTTCTCATTCCATGGATCCCTTAGGTGCGCCTTCCCAGTTTGTGGATGTGGATACACTACCAAGCTGGGGTGACTCACGTGAAGATGAATTAAATTCCTCTGATACCACAGCTGAAATATTTCAGGAAGACACTGTTCGATCACCTTTTCTTTATAATAAGGACATCAATGGAAAAGTAGTTCTTTGGTAATTATTTGATTGCATCATATGAGGAGATAACATTTTCTCATAATTTACTGTAACCTCTTTAAGCCCTAGCATTGTTGAAGTATATAGCTTTGCATATGCATATACAGCTTTATCGGGGTCTAATTGACCTTTAATAAACTACATATTTAAAGTATATAAGTTTTGGCTTATGTTAATACATCCACTAAGCCATCACCACAGTCAAGATAGTGAATATATCTGTCACTTCCAAAAGTTTTTTTCTGTTTCTTTGTGATTCCTCCCTCTTGCCCTTCTCTGCCTCCCCATCCCTAAGCAACCACTGATCTTCTTGTCACTGTAGGTTAGTTCGCGTTTTCTGGAGTTTTATATGATGAATTGTGTGCCTTTTAGTCTGTTTTCAGCAGAATGATTTAAGTTCATCTGTGTTACCGTATGTATCAGTAGTAGTTCATTGCTCTAAAAAGCTGCTTTATTGAGACATTGATATACAATATAATTAATCTGTTCAAATGGCACAATCTAGTGATTTTTAATATATTCATAGAGTTGCATAACCCTCACCACAGTTAGTTTTAAAACATTTTCATCAGCCCAAAGCCCCATTAGCAGTCACTCCCCATTTTTCCTTAATCCCTCTAGGCAATCACTAATCTACTTTCTTGTCTCTATAGATTTGCCAGTTCTGAACATTTCACATAAATAGAATGAATACAGTAAAATTTGTGTTTTTTTGTGACTTAGCGTAATGTTTTCAGGATTCATCCACATTGTAGTACAAATAAATATTTTTTTAGGATTGAGTAATATTCCATTGTATGGGTATACCACATTTAACAGTTCATTAGTTGATGGATATTTGGATTGTTTCCACCTTTGGCTATTATATAAATAATGCTGCTATTTCTAAACATGATGGTTTTGTGAGTTTCATGGTTATAACAATTGCATTAAAGATCTGAGATGCCAGATAGAAATTTCCTTTCTACTATTGCTTAGCTTGTGAGCTAGCAAAACCAACATTATGAAAAAAGTCGAGGACAAAATGTTTTGAAATAATTAGAAACTAGATTTCTTCTTCATCCCCTCACTTGTTTGTTCTTTATTGTTTCTTCAGGAAAGGAGATGTGGCATTACTGAACTGTACAGCCATTGTGAATACCAGCAATGAAAGTCTCACAGATAAGAATCCTGTGTCAGAAAGTATCTTCATGCTTGCAGGGCCTGATTTGAAGGAAGATCTCCAGAAACTTAAAGGTGAGTGAATTTTCTTTGGTATATTATTGCTTAGGAAACTTGTGTTTTGATATCGTCTACCTTGAAGAGGCATGTTTTGTGGGAAAATTATGTAGGTGTAACCGTTTTTCTTTTATTGAAACTAAATAAAAGCTGCTTTTGAAAGCTCCATTTTAACAAAATTTATTACATTTTGAAGTGTGTTAAAAACTGAGTACTGAGAATTTACTACCAGTAAAACTTCTCTGTCCCGTCCTGAATTTTAATTGACAATCATTGTAACTAGTTAGTTTTGGTAGCATATTCGTGGCTGCATATTTTCTTGCACAAAAGATACAAGAAAAGCATTGTAGAATGACTATCCTCTTGAACTCAAAAACTGTTAAATTACCAACCCTACAGCCCTTTGTTACTTGAGCTCAAATGAAATACTGTGAAATTCAATCTTCCCATTGTATAGAAAGTATTTATGAACTATAGCAATGTTTCTTAAAATGTAAACAGCAAAGTTAACCTGTATAAAATCTCGCTTTCTTTGCCTTCTATCATTTAACATGGACAACTGGTTTCTAACCTAATAAAAATAATAGAACTTGAACAGTAATACTTACAGTGCTGACTCTGTGGAAAGGATAGAATCAGAAGAACTGCATTTTTTTGATCCAGAAACTGAATTTTCACTATAAGGATAATGTGGGAAAATGGTGTTAACTAAGCTGCAAAACAAGACATGATAAAGAACATGTAGAAACTAGAAAGGATATTAAAGATAATACTGAGAAGTTCTTTGGTAAAAGTAACAGAGGAGCTGGTCTGGAAGAATTCCTAATGGCTTGCATGTGAATGCTTACGTATACCTTAGAGCTAGACTTATGGATAATAAAAGAAGAAAATTTAACAGAAGTGTGGAAGTAAAACCTCAATATTAAACTGGGTGTGTCTGAGCATCTCCCAACTGGGATTCGTATTATAACTCTGCCCTTTACTAACTGTGTGACTTAAGACTAGTTACTTTACCTCTGAGTCTGAGTTTCCTCATCTCTAAAATGAGGATGGTGATAGTAGTTCCAACCTCAGTTCTGGACATAGAGCAAAAACTTAATAAATATTTGGTGATGGAAAAAAATTAATATCTTGAAGACTAAATTACATAATGGACATTAGGTGTTAAGCACACCGTAAGTGTTCAACAAGTATGATTTCTAGTGTTAGTTATTAGGCCCCAGTTGTGTGTTTAGTGAATCAGTGCCAATCTTAGGGCTGCACACTTACTCCTCTCCTCTCTTTACATTTTTATTAATGACTTAATAAAAACAAGCATGGCTTACCAAATTTGTAGATGATAGAAAGCTGAGAAGATACTGCTTGATAGACTAAAGATTTTTAAGTGACTGGAAGTATAAGCCAGAAAATGAAAAAATTAACAGATGAATATTAAAGTCTTATAATAAGTTGAAAATGATGGGGAAACATCAATAGTTTAACAATACTTCATGTCTTAGTAAAATGGCATTATTTTCCATGCCATTTTTCTTTTTCTTTCTTTCTTTCTTTTTTTTTTTTTTTTTTTTTTTTGATATGCTGCAATCTTGGCTCACTGCAACCTCCATCTACCCGGTTTAAGCAATTCTCCTGCCTCAGCCTCCCATGTAGCTGGGAATACAGGCATGTGCCACCACGCCTGGCTGATTTTTGTGTTTTTAGTGGTGATGGGGTTTCACCATGCTGGCCAGGCTGGTCTCGAACTCCTGACCTGAAGTGATCTGCCTGCCTCGGCCTCCCAAATTGTTGGGATTACAGGCATGAGCCACCACATCCAGCCTCCCATTTCATTTTTCATTCAAGAAACCTTAAGGTTAACACTTTCCTCTTTCTTATCCCTCACATAAGGTCTATCAGCATGCCCTAAATTAGTCTTAAATCTATTTCTGTCTGTCAACATTGTCTCCAGCAGCTAGTATATGCAACCATCATTCCCTGCCTACATTACAGCCATATCCTCTGTCACAGCTGATCTTACCATATCCATTCTTCATTTCTTAAATTCATTGTCCACACACAACCAGTAAGTGTGAACTCCTTCTTATGGTTCCCCTACTTCAGACCGTTTAGTGGCCTCCCATTAAACTTAAAAATCTAAACTCCTTAAACTGATCCCCATGGCCTTGCAAGACCTCAGTCACTTTTCTCCAGGCTTAGCCCATGCCCCCATTTCCCTTCCTTTCCATGCCTTAGTCAAACTGATCTTTTCTCGCTGCTTTAGTTTTGCACTTGCTGTTGGTCTTTCTCTTAGTTGTCAACCCTTATTCTTAAGTCTTGGCTTACATTTCTTCCTCAAAGCACTTTTCTTTTTACTGCATAATAGATCAGACCACCCACCATATATGCTCCCAGCCTGCAGTACTTCTCTCTTGTTGGCTTATCACAATTGTAATCTTGTAAATTGTCTTATAGTAACTGTATCCCCATTAAACTATAAACTCCATGTGGACAAGAACTGTATGTCTTTCATTACTACTTTTTAAGGGTAATAAACTGGGGATACCTAACAGAAAATTAGTAATACTGTGAAAACCAGATTATTTGAAAGAGTAATTTAAAAAGTTAGGGTTAACATAGAGAACAGAATATTTGGGGGAAACATACTACTGATTCTCAAATACTTAAAAAAGGATCATATTAAAGAGGAAGAATGATAATCATGGTGTGTTCATAGAATCCTTGATAAGAAGATACATGAAACCGTATGTCAGTTCAGTTAGTATCTAAGCATCTAAGAATTGATACTAAAATTAGAATAGGCAGGGTTGGCTTTTTGTAACCAAATTTCCTCCCTGAAAAAAAATCAGTCTTATATTCACTTTGTGAATTTAGAAATTTTATGAAACTAAACCTATGTGACGTTTGTTTATTATTTAAACCTGTATGTGGGTGTGGGTGTATACATACATTCTTATATCATTTGTTAGGAAAAAAGAATAATTGCATGTATGCTAGTCTCAAAATAAGATAATCATGTACATATTCTACAATTTGGCTTCTTCAGCAAATGAATTCTACCTTTTAATTTCAGAAATTACATACATCGGCTACCCAGACCATACTTAAAATTTCCAGGTGATCCAAAAATGTCCTTTGCAGCAGCTGTTTTATCCAAACCAGTATCCAATCCAGGACCATACATTGCATCTTTTTGTTATGTTTATTAATTTGTCTCTGTGTGTGGGGTTTTATTTTTATTTTTATTTTGCTTTTTTTATTATTATACTTTAAGTTCTCGGGTACATGCGCAGAACATGCAGGTTTATTACATAGGTATACACATGCCATGGTGGTTTGCTGCATCCATCCTTCCCATCATCTTCATTAGGTATTTCTCCTAATGTTAGCCCTCTCCAATCCCCCCACCCCCTGCTATCCCTCCCCTAACACCAGTGCCTCCCAACAGGCCCCAGTGCATGATGTTCCCCTCCCTGTGTTCATATGTTCTCATTGTTCAACATCCACTTACGAGTGAGAACATACGGTGTTTAGTTTTCTGTTATTGTGTCAGTTTGCTGAGATGGAGTCTCACTCTGTTGCCCAGGCTGGAGTACAGTGGTGTGATCTGAGCTCACCACAACCTCCACCTCCTGGGTTCTAGTGATTCTCCTGCCTCAGCCTCCTCTGAGTATCTGGGATTATAGGCGTGTGCCAGCACACCCAGCTAATTTTTGTATTTAGAGACAGGGTTTCACCATGTTGGTCAGTCTGGTCTCAAACTCCCAACCTCATGATCTGCCCTCCTTGGCCTCCTAAAATGCTGAGAATACAAGTGTGAGCCGCCACACCCAGCTGTGTGTGTGTTATTTTGTTATCCAGCACAGTCCCCTGTCTATGACACTGGCTTGTTGAGTGAACGAGGCCAATTATTTTCACGATATCCCTCCTTCTAGATTTGTTTGATTTATTTGAGGTACCATTTAGTTTGTATTTCCTATAAACTTGACATTATGTCTAATGGAGTCAAGTTTTGGCTAAAATATTTCATAGGTGGTGTTGTGTTGTCTACTTAATGTTGTATCATGTTAGACCTGGGCCATTGCTCATAGTAAGATGGCTCTCTTAATTGGAGCGATAACAGTTTGATCTTCCATTCTATTTTTTTCTTGCCACAGTCCCTCCTGGAACCCTCCATCCTCCCTTTCCTCTCTAGACTGTTCTGTATTCCTGCTGCACAGTTATTATTATTGAACTTTTTTTAAACATCATTCTGGAAAATCTTTTTATCTGTTTGATGGATTGGATCTCTCATCTTTGTGAGTAAATCTACCGGGAGATTTTAAAGAAAGATGCAGTAGGGCAAAACTACTGAGATTTTACTTCTGCCTTCATACTTAATTTGTATTGTGCTCAGAAATAGAATTCCAGCTTGGAAATCGTTTTCCAGAAATTTGAGGGCACTGCTCCTTTGTTTTCTGCTTCGATTAGTGCTGTTGAGAAGTCTCGTGCTGGTCTTATCCCTGATTGTATGTTACTGGTTTCTTTCTGGAAAGTTTATGATCTCATCTTTGTTTCTAAGTGCTCCTAGATTTTACAGTGATGTGCCTTCATATGGTTTGACTATTTTATGGGTTATTTGACTCCAGAAACTCATATTTTTCCATTATGGGAAATTTTTAGTTTTATTTCATTCATAATTTCTTTACTCTGTATTCTTCATTCTCTCTGAAGAAATCCTATTGGATGTTGTATTTTCTTGCTTAATTCTTCAGTTTTCTTATCTTTTATCTCTTACTTTTAGTTTCTTTTTGTTTTATTTTCTGGGGGATTTCTTCAAGTTTAGTTTTAACCCTTCTATTGAACTTTTCATTTCTGCTGTCATGTTTTTCACTTGGCTATACCACTTACATAAGTGCCATTTCCTGTTCTCTGAATAGTCATATTTTTATGACATTCTGATTTTAAGTTTTCTTCCCTGTGTTGTCTGTTTCTTGATCATGTGCTAAGTCTCCCCTTTTAGTTTTTGTTAGAGGCTTTTGTTGCTTTCTGGTGTCCCTTAAGTGTTACCTGGATTGAAGATGGAAGAACTGAAAAGTTCATGGGAAACTTTGTACACATAGGTGTATACATACGTAAGTTCAGGCTGCTATAACAAAGTATCATAGGCTGAGTGGCTTATAAAGAACAGGAACTTCTGGAGACTGGAAATCTGAGATGAGGGTACCAGCATGGTCAGGTTCTGCTAAGGTCTATCTTCCTGACTGCAGACTGCTGAGTTTTCATTGTATTTTCACGTGGCAGAAAGAGGTAGCAGCTCTCTGTAGACCCTTATAAGGATTCAGCTCTCATTCATAAGGGCTCTACCCTCATGACTGTATCTAATTCCAGTTACCTTCCAAAGACCCTACCTTCTAACACCATCACATTAGGGTGTAGAATTTAACATAGGAATTTTGAGGTGGTGAGATCCAAGATGGCTGATCACTAGCAGCTCGGGATTGTAGCTCCCAGTGAAAGCGCAAAGAATGAGAGGACGCCACACCTTCACATGAATTCTTGTTGCTCACGCACCAGGAGATTCCCAGCGGAGGAGCCCCACGGGTCGCCAGCGCGACTCTTGTGACCGGCGAGGTGGTTTTGCCGGCGCCTTGGAGCGACGGTTCTTGGTGCAGAGTCAGAAAAGCACCATCAATCTTAACGCCGCTGATTTGGTCGGTGCAGTGGGTTGCTCAGATTTCGGCGCTGAGAATCAGTAAGTTGGACGTCCACTCAGAAACCTAATTACAAAGACGGTGAATACAAAGACCACAGATGGATAAATTTATAACGAAGGGAGGAAAACGGCCAAAAAAGGCTGAGAATGCCCAAGATCAGAACGCCTCTCCCTCAGCGGGGATCACAGTTCCTCATCAGCAACGGAACAAGGCTTGATGGAGAACGAGTGTGTTCCAATTACAGAAGCAGGCTTCAAAATGTGGATAATGAGAAACTTCTGTGAATTAAAAGAACTTGTTTTAACCCAATCTAAAGTAACTAAGAACTTTGAAAAAAGATTTGACGAAATGTTAAAAAGAATACACAATTTAGAGAGGAAAATAAGTGAATTGATGGAGCTGAAAAACACAATAGGAGAACTTCGTGAAGTATGCACAAGTTTTAACAGCCGAATTGATCAAGCAGAGGAAAGGATATCAGAGGTCGAAGACCAACTCAATGAAATAAAACAAGAAGACAAGATTAGAGAAAAAAGGATAAAAAGGAACGAGCAAAGTCTCCAAGAAATATGGGACTATGTGAAAAGACCTAATCTACGCTTGATAGATGTACCTGAATGTGACGAAGAGAATGAATCCAAGCTGGAAAATACGCTTCAGGACATTATTCAGGAAAATTTTCCCAGCCTAGTAAGGCAGGATAATATTCAACTCCAGGTAATACAGAGAACACCACAGAGATATTCCTCAAGAAGAGCAACTCCAAGGCACATAATCGTCAGATTCACCAGGGTTGAAATGAAGGAGAAAATACTAAGGGCAGCCAGAGAGAAAGGTCAGGTTACCCACAAAGGGAAGCCTATCAGACTTACAGCAGATCTCTCAGCAGAAACCCTACAAGCCAGAAGAGAGTGGGGGCCAATATTCAACATCCTTAAAGAAAAGAACTTTCAACCCAGAATTTCACATCCAGCCAAACTAAGCTTCACAAGTGAAGGAAAAATAAAGTTTTTTGTGAATAAGCAAGCACTCAGAGATTTCATCACCACAAGGCCTGCTTTACAAGAGCTTCTGAAAGAACCACTACACATAGAAAGGAACAAACAGTATCAGCCTTTCTAAAAAAATTATCAAAAAGAGCATCAATATAATGAAGAATTTACGTCAACTAATGGACAAAATAGCCAGCTAATGGCAGTATTAAACTCACATATATTATTATTAATTCTAAATTTAAATTGACTAAATCCCCCAATCCAAAGACAGGCAATTTGAATAAAAAACTAAAATTCCCATCAGTATGCTGCATCCAGACCCATCTCACATTCAAGGATACACGAAGACTCCAAACAAGGGATGGAGAAAGATTTACCAACCAACCAGAGAGCTAAAATAAATAAATAAAAAGCAGAAGTTACAATAAAGCAACAAAGATCAAAAGAAGCAAAGAAGGACATTATATAATGATAAAAAGATCAATGCAACAACAAGAAGAGCTAAAGATCCTAAATATATACGCACCCAATACAGGAATACGCAGACATACAAGACTTATAAAGAGACTTAGACTCCCACATAATAATAGTGGGAGACTTCAACATTAATATTAGACAGATCAATGAGACAGAAAATTAACGATATTCAGGACTAGAACTCAGATCTGGAACAAGTAAATGTAATTAACATTTATAGAACTCTCCACTTTAAATATACAAAATATACACTCTTATCAGTACCACATCATATCAACTTAGAAGTTTAAAAGAAATCTTGGTTGGCTCCTTGTTTGTTATTCTCTTCCCTCATTTTCTTTTATATCACCATTATTAAGGACAATTATAGGCATACCCATATTTAGATTGCATTCTAGCCCGGGCAATAAAGCAATACCCCCGTCCTCTCTCCCTCTTCCTCTTTCTCTTTCTTCTTCTTCTTTATTCTTTTTTTTTTTTATATAAGAAAAAGAGCTAAATGTATGAGGGATCTGTTCTCTGTATTATAAAAAGCTAATGCTTTGTTTTTCTTTAATAGATGGTATTTCTTTTTATAGCTGCCAAGGTTGGGAAAATGGCTTTATTATTGAAAAAAAAAAAAAGGAATTTTGAGGGAACCCATGCATTTAGTTCCTAACAGTGGACAAAGGTGGGCCTGGTGGGTCCTGATGCAGATGACAGAATAGGAGCCCTGTTATTTTATTGGGGAACTTTCCCCAGTTACCATAATCTGTAGGTCCTTTGGTTTGGGCCTCTCAATTTTTTGCAAAGGAATCTTCCAGGGGTTTAAGCCTAGATGTCTGTTTTGAAAGCCGTTTAGGAGCAGAGGCTAGACTTTTGTTGTTAGGTATAATACTTTAACTAAATCCCCTCTTTTCAACTGTGCTGGGGTTCCGTAATCCAGAAACTCTCTAGTTGAGCATCTCCAGAGAATAAACTTCCTCCCTGCTGCTCTGGTGGTTTAAAAAAAAAAAAAAAAAATCATCACCTTGCTGTGCTGGCTGGGAGAGGAATTGTAGATTTGACTGTTTTTATACAAAATTTTTTTAGTCCCACAGCCCACTTCACAGCATAGCCTTTACAAGTACTTAGGTCTACAGTTTCTGAGCCTTTTTAGCATTCTCTAGTAATAATAATTGCTAATGCATGTATGCACTTTGCATATAATAACATTTAATTCTGTGAAGTACGTACTGCTAGTATCACTTTTAAATAGGAAGTGGAGTTACATCAAGGCCAAGCCCCTGCCCGGAGTGTCTCAACAGGAACATGGTGACTCAGGATTTGAATCAAAGCCCTGTGTCTTGTATCCCACACTGCTTTTCAGTACAAATCAGCTTACTTCATATTAGTTATCTCATTTCTTCAAACAATTAAATTTCTCTGCTCTGTTGAGTCAGTTACTAGTCAGTTGACCTTCTACCTTCCAAAATTTTGATGATGTTTCTCTGTTCTTTCTCATTCTCTTTACCTGTTGTATTGCTTTACTGTCATTTTGGGAACAGAAGGAGCAGAAATAAATGCTTGTATTCAGTCTGTAGTTTTAACAGAAATTTCTCAGAGTTCCTAATACTTTCTCTGTTTGATGTTTTCATTTGTTTTTATTTTTGTTTTCTTAATACCTCCAAATTTATATGTGTTTCTATTGTTTCCAGGTTGCCGAACAGGGGAAGCAAAATTGACAAAAGGATTCAATCTAGCTGCCCGGTTCATCATTCACACAGTGGGACCTAAATATAAGAGCCGCTATCGCACAGCAGCTGAGAGTTCCCTTTATAGCTGCTACAGAAACGTACTTCAACTGGCAAAGTATGGTCTACTCATTTTCTGGACATAGCATATTATACATTGTTAAAGACCCCAGTTTTTAAATATGAAGGCCCCAGTTTTTAAAGATTAAAGACCTAGCAATGGAAGTCAAATTTTAAGGAACTTAGGTGATTTAGGAGGACCCTGGTGATATAATTATTCTTCCAAACTTAGCAGGATAATGGGATAGATTTGAATAACTTAAGAATTTAACCTTTTTCCATTTTTATTCAGTTTTTATGTGTAATATATGTCCTCCAAAGAGTGCATGCAGTTAAATTGTATATTAATATAATTATTGAGTAGTGCAATTGGGTTAGCTATTATAGTAGTTTTGTAGAAGAGGGAGGCAAGGAGAAGTTGAGCTGCATTTTGGAATTAGTGATATGTTGTTGTGTATGTATTACAGATGTTTGAAGTGCAATTTTTGTGTTTTTCGTTTGATTGCAGAGAGCAGTCAATGTCTTCTGTTGGCTTCTGTGTCATCAATTCTGCAAAACGTGGTTATCCTTTAGAGGATGCAACACACATAGCACTTCGTAAGTAATATTGGAGATGCTCTACTTGAGTTGAATCATAAAATTTTTTTTTAATTCTGGACATGGTGGCTTACACTTGTAATTCCAGCAACTTGGGAGGCTGAGGCAGGAGGATCACTTGAAGTGAGAAGTTTAAGGCTGTAGTGAGCTGTGATGACACCTATGAGTAGACACTGCACTCTAGCCTGAGCAACATATAGCGAGACCTCATCTCAAAAAAAAAAAAAAAAAAAAAGCAACAAAAATTTTTTTTTTTATCATTAGTTAAATAGTTATAGTCAAAGAAAATTAATTAAGTGATTGTGGTGGCACTCTGGAGGGAAGTTTTTATTGGCAGGTTGCAGAGCTCTCAATTTAGTTTTCCAGGTTGACATTTTTATCCATTTGAATAAAGGGTTAGAAGACATCCCTATTCATTTTTTTAATTTATCAGAATTTAATTGAGCAAAGAATGAGTCTTGAATTGGGCAGCCCCCGAAACCAGAGTAGGTTCAGAGTAGCTGGCCTCTTGAATTTGAAAGTGATGCTAAGTTAGAAAGTATGGCTAATGTATTGAGTAGTTAAATCAGAATTTAGAATAATCTTAACAGTCTGCAACAAATGCAGTCAGATTTCATGGTATCATATTTGTGTAACACTTGGCAGTTTAGCCACTTTCACACATGCTATTTGAATGTAAAACTCTGCATTTAGGTTTTAAAAAGACTAGGCTCAATTAATATGAGCCAAATGTATATATGTGACATGAAAATATGGCCTGCAGCTAGAGTCCGTGATCTCACTATATATATGCAGGTTTAGACCACATCTCAAGTTTTGTGTATATTTGCGTGTGTCATATTGCATGAGACAGTGACAAACAGGAGGACAAACAGTTTCAACCATTAGTGGTGTTTCTCCTAAAGAAGAGCATGCTTATAGCAAACATGATGTCCGTCTTCAAATGTCTGAAGGACTCTCATTGTGGACTTACTCTGTGCTACATTTTTCAAGCGGAAGTTCGTTGGGGTATTATCATAAACTACAATGAGCGTCTGGTGAAAGAACACTGTGGACCTTTACTCAAGAAAAATGTGCATAAATACAGAATTTCTATGTTATTTCAGGAAATTTACAGATCCTCATCAGGATTGTAGATAAGAACTTCAACTGTACAAGGCAAAGTCTAAGACCAAGTTATAAGGCAGAAAATATTGGTCCCACTTGAGATAGTACTATCTGTAACAGAAAAGTATTTTAGTGAACTTCTTGTCACTAGGGACATCCATGCAGAGACTACATAACCATCTGTTGCAGCTATTATAGAAAACATTTCTCATTTGGGAGACAAACTATACTAAATGATATTGAAGACCCCTTTTTATCTCTAGAATTTAAAGTTGAAGAGCTGAAAGCCTTATTTCCACAAATAACACAAAGATACTTGAATGTATAAATTATTATTACATAGCCTGGAAGTTAGGGTGAGGAGCTGTTCAGTCTTAGTCTTATTAAATTATAAGCTATTTTAAAATCCAGTATTCTAACTGCTCAAGGATTTTATAGTAAATTTGTATATTTTATAATTAAGTTTGTATACATTGTATTAGACTGAGCTTGAGAGGCATGGATCTTATCTTTCTTTCTTGAATGCTTGACATATGTTACTTGCTTAAGAAATACATATTTTAAAAAGGGACAAGTAAATTCCACTTACTTTCCTTAACAACCCAGTGTTTTAGGTAGTATGGTGTCCCTTACACAAATAAAGAGGCTCAGAAATTTCTCCTGTTCTCAGGGTTATACAGAGTTGGAGCATATATCCAGACCTTCTTACTGCCAAGTCTAGGAACCTGTCTGTTATACTAGATGATTCATTCCGTTTGAGTTAGAACTGCTTCAGGGGAAGACTGCTGTGTTATAACCTGCCTATTTTCTAAATGGTGCCTAACCAAAGCGAAGCTCCTGCCTTGATATCATTGCTCCTGACAAGGCTTTTGGCCGGTCCCTGTATTCTCTGATTTTACTTAGTCCTTGCCCTGTCATCCCATAGCTTCCTTTGTGTATCTATTTTTTATTAAGGTAATCCCAAGGATTATATTTTAAAGAGGCAGCATGATTTTTTAGAAAAGGCTCTGAACAGGGAGTTAAGGCTAGTTTTTAGTTCTGATTCTACCAGGCCAACACTACTCTGCAGCCCCAGGCAAATCATTTGATTCAGTACTATAGGAGAGGTCAACTTTGAGAGTAACAGCAGATAACGATTAATAGTGAGTATAAGAGACTTTGATGAAGCAATTTCTAGGAATTTAATTAGCAAAAAGGAAATGTACAATTCTTAAATGGGCAAATTAACTCAAAGTTTATAAGGCACATTTGACTTACTGTGCCTTAAATCTAGTGGCAAAACTGTAGCATCTCATTCAAATACATGCACAGAAGACGCATGTATTCTGTGCATGTATAAAGTAACCTTTGTTCGGTTACTTTATCAAGCATTTGGAAAACAAATGGCTTGGATACTTTTGAGGCATATATGGGCCAAGGACAAATCTAATGATAAGACTCTTAAGTTCTTAGTATCAAAAACTTTCTTACTAAACTTAACAAAATTTATTTCCTTTGAAGCCTAAGTAATATGTTTTTGATAGATATATTAAGACTTGTGGTTTTTTTTCTTAGTTCATATGTAGCTTGTTCTTCACCAGAAAAAAACCTACATCTGTATTGAAATAAATTTATCAGGTTATTTATTCATCCAACAAAAATTTGAGTGACTACTATGTGCTGTATACAAAAGAATAGTGGTGAGAAATAAGATGAAGGTGTTTGTTCTTGTGGTGGTTCCAGATGGGGAATTGTAATGTCCTAGATGTCATTCTTATAAGTTAAAGGGTATTCATTAGATATTTAAGCACAGGACGTCGTGATTGGTTGCAGATAATAGTGCACAGATGATACTTTGAAAGGAAAAACATAGCCTTGCGGTTAGTACTAAAACCTTAGATTCATGACATCAGTCTTCACTGCTTTTGCAGAGTTAATTTTCTAAATGAATTCCACTGAGAAAATTCGATTTGGTTGCTATTTAGCATTGTATTTTATCTTCCAAAGGAAATAATATATTCTGGAAAACTATTATGCATGAACATTAAAACTTGGTGTCAAAATAAATAGGAAACCAAAAATCTTTTTGTTTTTTGTTTGTTTGTATGTTTTTTGAGAGAAAGAGTCATACACTGTTGCCCAGGCTGTAGTGCAGTGGGGCAATCACAGCTCACAGCTCACTGCAGCCTCAACCTCCTGGGCTCAAGAAATCCTCCCTTGTCAGCCTCCCAGGTAGCTAAGACTACAGCTATGTGCCACCATACTAGCTAATTTGAAAAAAAAAATTATGAACACAGGGTCTCACTGTGTTGCTCAAGCTAGTCTCAAATTCAGGCTCAAGTAATCCTCTCACCCTCACCCCGCAAAGTGCTGAGATTATAGCCATGAGCCCCTATACCCTGCTGAAAATCTTATTTTGAAAGTTCATTTTTGAAAAAGTATTAAAGCAGAATAGAGGGAGAAATGAAAAATAAATTTGTTATCCAACTGGAGGAGAGTAAGGAGTGTTTGTTTAGTATTTTAACAAATGGGTTTGCTGTGTTAGGTTCATGAGATACAATGTGGAACAAAGCAGGCAATATGTACCTGAGCCATAAATTGTTACTAGTTACTTTTGAAAGATTGCATATCACATCATAAGGTGTACTAGGCCCCAAATTAAAGTAATATTATTATAAAATATAGTTGGTCTTCAGAAAGCTTAATCTAGCTATAAAATGTGAGAAATTCTTTAAATGAAGGGTGTTCAAAAGATTCCAAGGGGACCAAGGAAGGTTGGGGATGGCTCTTGGCTGGGTGTTGAAAAATGAGTAGGAGCTCATGAAGAGGAGAATGGTGGATGAGTCATATTCTAGTCAAAAGTAACCATGCAACCAGAGGCATGGCATCATAAAAGTAAGTGATATGTTTTGAATACAGCAAAGTAGATTTAGCTAAAGCGTAAGATATGGGAGAAATATTTGGAAGTAGGACTAATGAGCTGACTGGGGGAAAGTAGATAGTTGGGGTTGGAGTGTAGAGAGTCATGCTAGGGTTTTTTAATCTTAACCTGTAAGCAGTGCAGAGCGATCACCAGTGTTTAGTAAGGAGGGTAACATGAGAATATAAGTCAGCCAACAGTGAGTATGTAGACTTGGGGAAAAAAGACACAGGAGAGCAGTTAGGAGCTTATTGTCAAAGTCTGTGTGAGCCTTGAGAACCTGAAAGCAGCCAAAAGAAAGGAATAAATCTTAGAAATATTAGCAATAGAATTAAAAGTCATGGGAACTATTTGAAAATGCAATATGAAGGAAGAGGTAAAGAAAGCATCAAAGACAATTCAGGATTCTAGCTTGGATGATGGCTGGATATTGATATGTAATGAAGGTAAGTAATGGAGGTTAAAAGGAGCCAGTTTCCTGGAAAAAGATGGCGGTCAGGATTTGGACCTGTTGGTGTCAGGTTTGGATACATTGAATTTGAGGTCTGTGTGAGTTATCTGAGCAGGTAGACCCAATAGGCATCAGGGAATTTGGGTCTTTTGCTCAGAAAAAAAAGAATATAAAGATTTGGGAGCCATCAACATTTGAGGTAATACCTATCCAGCAAATTAGTGAGCTAAGGAGAATAAGTATATCTAAAAAATGTTGAAGACAAAACCCTGGAGGACAACATTTTTAAAAGGTGAGGGCATACGTGTTAAGGACTAAAGCTAGGGAGAGACCCAATGAGTTAATAACTGAAGTAAAGGTCAGTAGATGTTGTTATTAGGAAGTTGATAGAGAAGAATTAGAATAACATAGAAATTAAGAAAAAATAATGGAGCTTTATTTGTGGAGTTTTGTGAAGGGCTGAAAGGCTGGGTTAGATACTGTAACTGAATGAATGGAAAAACACTTCTGCTAAATCATTCTGGCTAAAGAAAGGAATAAGAACAACATACTATATGAAAAAGAATGGTCTGAAGTCAGCATCTTCTCTTGCCAGACACTGTTCTTGACATTGGAAATGGAGCAATAAATCCAATAGAGCTTCTTCTGTTATTGAGCTTTCATTCTAGTGAATGAGGAGAAGACAGGGAGGATAACAGTACGCAAATAACTTCATAAAATGTCTATCCCAGTTGCTGTGGAGGAAAGCAGATCAGAGACGGGTTTTTATACAAGTATTACTAAGCAGAGTCCTGAACGAAGTGAGAAGTGATCCCTTAGAAAAATAAACACTGAAGAGCTTGATTTTTATGTGTAAGTAATTTTTTACTTATTGAGTAATCTTTCTGTTCTTTTTTTAGGCACTGTCAGGAGATTTCTAGAGATTCATGGGGAAACCATTGAAAAAGTGGTATTTGCTGTCTCTGATCTTGAAGAGGTATTTTGCTAATTGTTACATTGTTTAAATCTTATTTCTACCTTTAAGCATTTGCCTTTGGCTTATCACTATATACTTACGGGGTTTCCAGCAGACAAATCCTAATTATCTATGTATATATCTGACAGTGGACTTACCATCATTCATTGAAAAAAGACAGTATTGGAAACTAAAAATAAGTCAAGAAGGAGCATTTTATTCGTATTTTTTATGATTAAACTGTTGTCACTGTAAGTGAAATCTTAAAAAGTAGAGTTGTTCTGCTTGGCCCCTGTGTTAGCTCTCAAAGCATCACCTTTAAGCACTGCATGTTTGGGGAGCGTAACTGGAAAACTAACATGCCAGAAAATCTTTGATGTCTGGCTGACCAGGTGACAGCCTAGCCTAGTGGCTGGTACTGTGAGATTTATATATTTTATTATATGTAGTTAGGTTTAGTATATTTCCATTTAATTTCAAGCCATTCTAGAAAATAGTTTATTCTTATCTCATTACACTTTAATTTTAGAGTGCTTTGTCTAATTCAGCTTACAGTATTTCCCAGTTTTGTATCACTGAGCAAGTTACTTAACTTCTCTGCTTCTGTAAAATTGGAATACTAATAGTACCTGTATCCAGTTTTTTGTGATAATTAAATGAGCTAATACATTCATATTAGCTATCTATTGGTGAAGTATGTATTCAAAGCATATGTAGCTACATATAAAATATATATGTACTTTTGAATTTGCTGAAAAAAGGCACATTTACTTTGTTTCATCTTCTTTATTTATGCATAGAGTCTTCCAGTGATCTTTTACTGAGTGTTTAGCATATATCAGGTTTACTATATTAGGTCCTGGGAATACGCCGGTGAAAAAATAATGGTTGTTTGCTCAAGGAGCCTTTATCCTTTAGTGGAGATAGATAATTCAGAGAAGTTAGGATAATTGCAATAAGTGCATTAATGGAGGTATGGGAAGGATAGGACATAACTTTAGCCTGGCATGGGGTTAGGAAATGCTTCCCATAGGAAGTGATACATAAGTTGAAATAATTGTAAAAGGTACATGAGGTTTGCCAAGGGACAGAGGCAAGTGGCAACAGTCATACAAGCCTGAGCAAAGGCATAGAAATAAGATATAGCATAGAGTGTTTAGTATTGCTGTTGCATAAAATGTGAGGCTCACAGTGGCAGCAATGAAAGTTAGATAGGGGTAAGATCACTCAAGGCCTTGTGTCACAAGCTGTGAAATTTAGACTTTATTAATTAAGTCATGGGAAACAAAAGAGCTTTACTCAAATGATGTCATCTACTTTCTGTTTTAGCTGTGTGGAGGATGATTTGGAAAGAGAAAGACTAATGGCAAGAAGAGATAACAGGTGGTAGCAGTACTCCACATGAGAAATGATCAGGCCTGAACAAGGGTACTGGTAGTGTTAACGTTTTAAATATTAGTAAATAAATTCAACTGGAGTTGGTGGTTGATTAAATACATGTGGGAAAAAAGAGTTAAGTGTGACTTCTATTGAATTTTTTTTGGCTTGAATTACTAGATTGCGATAACACCATTGAGATAGAAATAGAAAGTAGGAAAAGTTTTGGAGATGGGTTGAAGACATTATTTTCTGAACACGTTGTCTTAAAGGATCAGAGGATCATCAGGAGCAGAGGCTCAGCAAACTGTTGTGCTCATCAGTTTGAAGCTGAGGAGTGAAGGCCAGTTTAGAGATGTGTCCATTTTCATAGGATAGGATACAAACGAGATATGGCTCCTGCTCTCAGGGAGTTGGCAGACTAATGCTGACACAGCCAGGTAAACAAAGATCACCCTACAGTGTGACAAATACCCTGCTAAAGTATGCCCCACAGTACCATGGCAACTTATCATGACACCTGACCCAGATTTAGAGGAACAGAGAATAAGTCTTTGCCCTCAGTATACTTGGGAAAGTAATCAACACTTAACCATCTTTATAGAAGAATAAACAGATAATGAAAAACAAGTTTATTAGACATTTTAGTAAGAATTTAAACATAGCAAACCTCTTTGTGTGAACTAAATACTGTTGCACAAACATAAAAGATGAAAGAATACTGTCACACATCCTTTTAGTAAAATGGGATTGTCCAGGTTCCTATCACAAAATAGTATGTGATTAAGTTCTTCTTGTTGAATGACTTTCTGAATGAGAATACCAGATTTCTCTTTTGTCTTTAGAAATGTATTGTAGCTCATGACTGTAATCCCAGCACTTGGGGAGACTGAAATGGGTGGATCACCTGAGGTCAATAGTTCAAGACCAGCCTGGCCAATATGGCGAAACCCCGTCTCCACTAAAAATTAAAAAAAAAAAAAAAATTAGCTGGATATGGTGGCAGGCGCCTGTACTTCCAGCTATTAGGGAGGCCGAGACATGAAAATTGCTCGAACCCAGGAAGCAGAGGTTGCAGTGAGTCAAGATTGTGCCACTGACTCCATCCAGGATGACAAAGCAAGATTATGTCTCAAGAAAAGAAAAAAATACATCATCAACAGATTATTGAATTTGAGAGATAATCTAGAATATTGTTGTCTGAAGACTCAGAGTCTGAGACTTCACCTTATACAGTAAATCTTATGATCATCATTAAGAGGGCTGCTGTCTATCTCTTTACATTCATATTTGATTTATTTAATGATTCCAAAATGTTTTCTTCATTTAATTGTCTTCTCTTTAATATTATGGACTGCAAATGAAAAATTCGGAATTCTCAACTCCGTCCAGTAAAGTTAAAAATATGCTACATGCCAGAAAACCATAGAGCAATATCTCTTATGACTAGAGATGCAAAAAATATCAAACCAAATCCAACAGAATATAAAAGAATTGTATACCACCCCAAAGTGGGACTTATTTCAGGAATGCAGGGTTGGTTCAGCATACAAGAATCTGAATCAATGTTATATACCATGTTAATAGAATAAAGTATAAAAACCACAGGACCATCTCAATAGATGTAGAAAAGAACATTGAAAAATTGCAACATTCTTTTTTGATAACAACAGTCAACAAACTAGGAATAAAAGAGAACTTCTTCAACTTGAAAAAGGGCATCTGTGGGAAACCCTTAGCTCACATACTTCATGGTAAAATACTGAAAGCGTTTTGCCTAAGATCAGGAAGAAGACAGAGATTTTCGCTCTTGCCAGTTCTATTCAATATTTTACTAGAGTTACTAGCCAGGGCATTTGGCTAAGAGAAAGAAATAAAAAGCACCCGAACTGAAAAGAACAAAGTAAAAGTACCTTTATTTGCAGACAGCATGATCTTATCAAAAATACTAAAGAGTCCACACACACACACACACACACACACACACACACACACACACACACTAAAACACTGTTAGACCTAATAGAGTTCCACTGGGGTTACAGGATGTAAGATCAATGTACAAAAATAAATTATATGCACGCTAACAATGACCAATCCAGAAACAAAAATTAAGAAAACAATTCTACTTACGGTAACATCAAAAAAATAATGAAATATTTAGAACTAAACTTAAAGATTTGTGCATTTAAAACTGTAAGACCTCTTTGAAAGAAAAATTTAAAAACACAAATAAATGGAAAGACACCTATGTTCACGGATTAAAAGACTTAATGTTGTTAAGATGACTTTACTGACCATTTTCCCTGCATTGTATTACAGACTTAACATAATCCCTATCAAAATCCCAACTTGTTTTTTGCAGAAATTGTCAAGTTGATCCTAAATGTATGATATGCAAGAGACCCAGAATAGTCGAAACAGTCTTGGAATAAAAGAACAACATTGGATGATTCACACTTACCAATTTCAAAACTCACTACAAAGCAGTAATAATCAAGACTGTGGTACTAGCATAAGGATAAGTATATAAGTCAATGGAATCGAATTTCTGACAGTGGTTTCAAGACAATTTAATGAGGAAAAGCATTGTCTTTTCAACAAATGGTATTGGGACTACTGGATATCCACATGCAAAAGAACAAAGTTGGATTCCTACCTTAAACCATATACAAAAATTAACTCAAAAGGAATCTAGGACCTCAATGTAAGAGCTAAAGTTATGAAACTCTTAGAAGAAAGTGTAGATATAAATCTTGCTGATTGTGGGTTAGGCAGTGGTTTATTAGATATGACACCAAAAGTACAAACAGCCAAAATACAAATGGATAAAGTAGACACTCTTATAATTCAACAAAAGACAAGCAAATTTAAAAGTGAACGAACATTTTGAACAGACATGTTTCATGCCTAGGTTTTAATTTACAAAGGTGACTGAGTGAGGAGAAAGAGAGGTCTATGGCAAGAAAGACTGTTTAAAAGAAAGAAAGAAAAGTTTAGTGTTTTTCATAGTTTCTCTAAAAAAGAGAGGCATAGGTGCTATGCAGGGCCACAGGAGGAACACTAGGTTTCAGTCAGGAGGCAGAAGCAGGGGTGTGAGGAAATCCTGAACCAGAGCCTTTATTGGGTTTTCCTTGGGAAAGGCAAGGCAGGGCAGGACTTACAGTTTAGGACTGGCTAGTTTGAATAATTCCATTATTCTGGGCTATAGGAGTAATCTCTAGATTCCTGATACCTGACCTTGGGATGATTTAAACTAGGAGAAATATTTGCTTGGTGTGTCAGAGTTAGGTAAGGAAATAATTAGGGCTGTAGATTTGGGACTGATTGATTGGCATATGCAAGATACGATGTTTACCATCTTTAGGAATTAGCTCTCCCTTACAGGGACAGTCTTCTCAGGCTAAAAAGCTTTTTGAGATGTGAAAACATTATAAAATACAAAAAACGAAAAATTAAACATAATTAACATACATTTCTTTGAAGAAGATATACAGATGGCCAATAAGCACTGTAAAGGTGTTCGACACCATTAGCCATTAGAAAAATACAAGTCAAAAGCACCATGGATACCGCTTACACTCACTAGCATGGTTATAGTTATGAAGGCAGGCAGTAATAACAACTGTTGGTGAGGATATGGAGAAAATGGAACACTCATAGATAGTTAACGGAAATGTGAAAATGGTGCAGCTACTTTGGAAAGCAGTCTGGCAGTTAATGAAAAAGTTAAACATACCATATAATGCAGCAGTTTGACTCGTAGGTATATATAGAAGAGAACTGAAAATACTTCCACACAAAAACTTGTACACAAATATTTGTAGTAGCATCATGCAGAATAGCCAAAAAAGTAGGAACAACTGAAATGTCATCACCTGATGAACTGACAAAATGTGGTGTGCAGGTGTGTGTGTTTATGTGTATATGCATATGTGTTAGAATATCATTCAGCCATAAAAAAGAATGAAGTACTGATAACTGCTACAATGTGGGTCAACCTTGAAAACATCATGCTAAATGAAAGAAATCAGACACAATATGCCACATACTGTATTTCTTTTTTTTTTTTTTTTTTTTTTTTTTTTTTGAGACGGAGTCTCACTCTGTTACCAGGCTGGTGTGGAGTGGCGTATTCTCGGCTCACTGCAACCTCTACCTCAAGGGATTCCGCTGCCTCAGCCTCCTGAGTAGCTGGGACTACAGGTGTGCACCACCATGCCCAGCTAATATTTTGTATTTTAGTAGAGACAGGGTTTCACCATGTTGGCCAGAATGGTCTTGAACTCCTGACCTCGTGATCCACCCGCCTTGGTCTCCCAAAGTGCTGGGATTACAGGTGTGAACCACCACGCCCAGCCCTGTATTCCATTTTTATGAAATGTCTAAAAATAGACAAATTCATAGTGACAGAAAGAAGATTAGTAATTGCTGGGGGTGGGAAAGGAAGGAATGGTGAATGACTGGGTTTTAGAGTGGTAAAAATGTTCTGGAATTAAATAGTGGTGGTGATTATACCCCCTTTGTGAATACTGTATATGAAAAACCACTGAAACTGGGTGTGGTAGTGTACACCTGTAATCCCAGCTACTGGGGAAGTTGAGGTGGGAAAATTGCTTGAGCCCAGAAGTTTGAGACCAGCCTGGGCAGCACAGCAATACCTCATCTCAAAGAAGAAAACAAACCAAAAAAACCACTGAATTGTATACTTCAAAAGGGTGACTTTTATGGTATGTGAATTCTATCTCGATTTTTTTAAAAAAGGCTGTAAAGATGGTATCTCGATTTTTATATAAATGTTTAAAAGATGATGCAGTACTGTGGGCAACACAATATGAAAATGAAAGATAATGATTTGTTGAATGATTTCATTGTCCTAGGTGATTCCATCATTTTTTTTATTATTTTAATTTAGTATTTCTTAGCATAGTTTTTAATAATTGAGTAATTCTACGTAAGGAGAAAACAATTCCTAGGATGATGAAAAAGTAACATGTTTCAAGATATAGGATAAATAAGAGCACTACATGTCTTTAATGTACTGCAGATTTATTAGTCCGTGGACCAATCAATATGGGAATCACAAAATAAGTTTTCTGTTTTTTTAAGTAAAATTAATCTTTGTCCTTTGAACAATTTTTAAGAAAGAACAGACATCATGAAAGAGAAATCCTTCACGAACAGCTCAGAAACAATACCTGTGTTGAATGGACCCTGCTGGCACACTGAGGGTTAAGGAAGTAGCATTTGAGCTAGATCTTGAAGGACTGTTATCATTAGGAAGTGAAGGCAGGGATGGGGACAGGAGTGGCAGGGCTTATGCATTCCAGGTTTAGTGACCTGGAATTGTTAGGATGGGCATTTAACTTGACTAGATAACAATATCCTTATCTTTAACTCAGAAGCTGATTGAGGGTTACAGACAGTAGTACAGGTATTGATCGACTTACAACCTACGCAACTTACGACCATTCGACTTTACGACCACAATCGCTAGCCACGACTGCTCCGTGTCTGGCAGCGCAAACGTTGCCCAGCTGGGCATACGACAGTGCGGACCAGCTTCCAGCAGCACTACCATCTCCGCGTGCACCATTTCAACTGTACATAGAGCCTACTCAACTTACGACCAAATCGTGTTACGAACATTCCACGGTCCCGACCGTGGTCGTAAGTCGAGCACGAACTGTATCTAATCTGAGCTCAGAAGTGGTAAAGTCTATTCTTAATGGAGGTTATCTTCAGAGTGTATGAACAGCACTAAGTAGTGCTGAGGTTTTCTTCGTTGTGTCCTGTTTTTCACAGAATGTCTTGCTTTTCTGACACAGGCTACTTACCAAAAGCTGCTACCTCTGTACTTCCCAAGGTCGTTAAAGGAGGAGAATAGGTCATTGCCATACTTACCTGCAGATATTGGAAATGCAGAAGGGGAGCCTGTGGTACCTGAACGACAGATTAGAATAAGTGAAAAACCTGGTGCTCCAGAAGGTGAGTTCTAGAGTTCTAACTTTTTACATCTCCCTGTTAAGAAGCAGAATAAGGCACCAACCACCAAAGAAGGAAGAAGTTCAGCTTAACCTTTGGAAAGCTCTCTATTAGCATGACACTGCATCAAGACCAGTTTAGAAGTTTTCAAGTTCTATTCTTGAAATTAAAAATAAAATTATAGGTGGATAGATATATGTCAGGTCCGTGTTAGACAGTGGGTGGCTCTGACAATATTCTCACCCATGCAGGACGCTGTTGAGATAGTAAAGTACGTTATTGTCCAGTATTTTAAATGGCTTTCAATATCCTCTAAAAATCATGTTTAACATTAAATACTAAGACAAGAATACTAGAATACTAGAACCATTCATTTGTCTCCTCAGGTTATATGCTGTTGTAGGTTGGAATAGCACGTAGAATGTGTTAGGATGGTAGCCCTTCTGTATCTGCTCTGTGTGGCACCTTGTAGTGATGTTCATGTGTACATATTGAAGGTTGTAAGTCCCTTCTGCAGAAACATACCTCACAGGCTTCAGTGCTGGGACTCAGTCTTGACATCCAGCAGCGTAAGGAATTACTGTGAAATTCCTAGTGTGAACACTTCTTTTAAAAATGAGCACTAAGCCAAAATCTTTAGGAAGCGACTCAAGATTTTTATCACCATTACATAGACTTTCATCAAGTGGCGTGAATTATAAGTGGTTTAGCATCAGAAAATATGAAATGTCTGGAAACCAAACTTTGCTGAAGGGGTACCCTTGCACTTTGGGTGAGCCTCCAGAATAATATATCCTTGAAATAATGCCAAGAGTTATTTAGACATCCTCATGCCTGTGACTACCATAAAATTTTTCTTTCATAAAATTCATTTGATGTGATAATTATGATGAACAGCAAAACCTCTGAGTGCTGGACAGTCAATAAGACTAACTCATTTGCTAAAAGATTCTCTGCCTTCCACCATTCCCAGAGTGTGTGATTTGCATTCATATCTCAGAAAATACTTCTATGTTACAGGCCTTAGTGTTCTTAAATATTTTCAAATAGAATGTTAAATCTGTTAAAATATATATAACCAAGCTTTACTTGAGGGTTGTTTTTAATTAAAGCAGGCCCTTCCGAGCTATTGGCCTGTCAGTTTGAGGAGCAGTGAAGTAGACGTGGGGAAATTCCAGCTGATTGTCCACCGGGTTGGAATTCAAGTGCGGGCAATGCCTTGGGAGGTTCCCCATGGTACAAGGTTTGTTTTGTTTTGTTTTTCTTAACAGATCTACCAAGGCATAAGAGATAATCTGTTCTCAAGAGACCGGTTTCTGCTAATCCAACTCATAGTGGTTGTGTGGATAGATTAGAAAGCTAATGTATTAGTGTGTAGTGAGAACTATAACTCTTATGGACCAAAATAACTGTGTTAGGACCAGTGTAGAAAACCAGGATGCTAAATTATAACTGAAATATCTCTTAAGGAATGTGGATTATACTCTGTGATCCTGGTCCATTCATCTTGGGGGATGTTAGCTGACAGAAGGGCTGGGGTTCATGCAATCAAATGCTTTCTCCTTCAACAGTGTTGAATAAACCTTCCCGAATGCTTGTTTTTTATGCTTATTTTTTTTGTCAGATGCTGTGCAATGAGCCATCTTTAGGGCCAAATACAATCTAATTACTTCTGTCTTTTTATGTGTGACCCAGGTCACCCTGATTTGATTTCACATACTGCTAAAACCTTTGTCACACATGGACATGCAGTTTCTTTCATTATTTCAGTTTTACAAATGCCTAAATCCAATGACAATTTTGTTCTCAAAAATAACCTTAACCCCACTTTTTTTTAGTTACCTCACTATCATCCCTACTGCAGCATTCACAATGTGTTTCATTTACTGTCTAGTTTTAGCCCAAGCTCTCTATTGATAGAAGCCTTTTTGTTACAGATAACCAAGAAGAGGAGGATGAAGGCTTGGGAGTTGATCTATCTTTCATTGGCTCTCATGCTTTTGCTCGAATGGAAGGAGATATTGACAAGCAAAGAAAACTGATCCTTCAGGGACAGTTATCAGAGGCAGCTCTGCAGAAGCAGCATCAAAGAAAGTAAGACAACCGTTCAGAACTGTTAGACACATAAGAATATCAGAAACAAGAAAGGGACCTTACATGTGATGCGTGAGCTACATCTATACATAATGCATTCCCATTTATTTTTTATGACAATCAGTGAGGAAGATACCATCCCCATTTTGGAGGGGCAAACACTCAAAGTTAAGAAAGTTATCAGTGGCCACAGTTAACATATGGCGAAATGGGTATTCAGATACATGTCTGATTTCAGAGCTCCTACCGTGTGTACTGTAACTGTAGTGCCTCCATGCAAGGTTTACATTTCAAAAGGAGAAATTAGGAAAAGGGAAAGGCAGTTACAAAGCATTTACTTAGCTCTACTTTATAATTAAAGGAAAATCTACAGTTTAACTAAATTTAAAAGAGCATAATTTCTCCCTGACTTATCCCAAAGACCTTTATAAGACATCCAAACCAGTTCTTCCATATTCTTCTAAATCTGGAACAGATACCACCTCCTGTATGCTTTTTTTCATACCCTGTATTCACCCAGAGCATAGCATAGCGTTTTTTATGCTGTAATGTAATGATGTCTGCATGCTGTCTGTCTCCACTGATAAAGTGGGAGTTGGACTACATGATCTCTGGAGTCCCTTACAGAATTAGTATTTTGTGTCTCCTCAATTCCTGGTCTTCCTTTACTGTATTCTGATTTTTATTTAAAAAAACGAAAGCGGGCCGGGCGCGGTGGCTCAAGCCTGTAATCCCAGCACTTTGGGAGGCCGAGGCGGGTGGATCACGAGGTCAAGAGATCGAGACCATCCTGGTCAACATGGTGAAACCCCGTCTCCACTAAAAATACAAAAAACTAGCTGGGCGTGGTGGCGCGTGCCTGTAATCCCAGCTACTCAGGAGGCTGAGGCAGGAGAATTGCCTGAACCCAGGAGGCGGAGGTTGCGGTGAGCTGAGATCGCGCCATTGCACTCCAGCCTGGGTAACAAGAGCGAAACTCCGTCTCAAAAAAAAAAAAAAAAAACAAAAAAACGAAAGCATGTGAGCCACTAGGGGGCACCAAGGAACAGCTTTTCCAAAGGAGGCAGCCACAGCCAAATACTACTTTCAGTGGTTTTTAAACTTGGCTATATGTGTAAGACTCATCGGATGGACATTTTTCATTAATTACAGTGTCTGGGCTCCTCACATGACTGAGATCTAGGACTTCTTAAGTATCAAGTCTCCTTAGCACTCTTACAAATTGTTGAGGACCCCAGAGAGCTTATGTTTACATGGGTTATGTCTATCAATGTTTATCACATGAGAAAGTATTTATTTTTAAATAACTTTTTAAATTTAATGAAAAAGATAGTGTTTTGCATTTTCTAATTTTGCAAATCATTTAATGTTTGACTTAATCGAAGATGGCTGGATTCTCATATCAGCATTCAAACTGCTGCAGTAAGTTGTTTTGACTAAAGTATATGAAGAAAACCTGACCTCACTGGGATTATAATTGGAAAATGGAGGAACATTTTAACAGCCTTTTAAAATAATTGGGATATTCTTCTTTGATACTATACCAGAATTTGATACTGTTTTAAAATACAGTTGTCATGTAGAATCTCACACTGTATCCATGAATTTTTGAATTCTATTATATTAAAATGTGTTGTTCTATTCTGTACTTTGAACAAATTTGATAATAAGAATTTATAGCATGACTTTATAACATAATATATTGGCTTTTTGGAAAGTGTTGATTCATTGAATTATTTGGAGCTCCAAATATTGACACATTTCTTTATACAGTATCAAAAAATTATATCTGTTAGTATCAGTTGTATAGTATCACCAATCGCATCAGAAAAGTAATATTAGGAATGATCAAGCTTCTGATGACAATAAAAATGTTTCTAATATATATAAAGCTCAAGTTTTATCATTGGCACCAAATACTGTTGGTTTTCTTGAAATGTCAGGGTCACTGTATTCATTTTTGGGAAAACACCTGCCAGATTTTCATGTTGAATAACTATTTTTTTTATCTGCTAGTCATTCTTTGAAGTAAATATGTTATTGCATGAAAAAAAGCAACCTCACACTTCAGTATGCCAAAGTACTTTATATGTTCTTCCCATTTTGTCTTGCATTAATTTTAAAAGATGGATTCTCAAGCCAATCTAATAAAATTGATAATTTTTACTTCTCCATTGAAGATATTCTTAAATGCAACTGGCCTTTTTTGTTTATTGGTGCCACTGTCTTGATTTGTGGTAAGGCTATTATGAGCTGTTTTTACCCATCAGTTGCTTTTGCACTATTAGTGCGAATGTCTATATAGTGAAAAATGGAAATGATGTTATTACAAAAATAATTTTGAACTTACAACCTCCTGAAGACATTTCAGGAACTCTTTAGAAGCCTACAGACTACACTTTGGGAATCACTGATCTGTGGTCTCTCACCGATAGTTGGAAGGAATTTTGGTGATCATTTGTTAATAGTTTTCCAAAGTGGAATCATCACTCCATCAACATTAGAATCACTAAGAGTGCTTGTTAAAAATCTGTATCCCACACCAAACTTCCAGTATCAAACTTCTTGTCCTCCATGGAAAGGACTCAGAAATCTTTCTGAAGTTTCTTAGATGATTCTTTATGGCCCTAAATCACTGACCTAGTGTGACCCCATTATGTTACATGAGGTAAATTGTGGCTTGCCCACAGTTACAGCTACTTAAGGAAGATCCTTGGGTGTAGCCTCTGCAGCCTATCTCCCTTCCCTACCATCACCTTCAACCCACTTACACAAGCCAACTTCGGAGAGATGGGAAAGAACTAGAGACTTTTTATATTCACATACAAAGAACTACCTGATTATCACCTTTCTCAAAACAACCTGTTCTCTTCTGCCCATTTTCACTCTCACATACACACATACAAACTTATACACTACATACGTAACTCATTTCTCCGTAAACTGGTACAGATATCTGAAAGTTTTAAGTTTGTCTTTGGGCTGGTTGCTTTCTTTTTTCCTCCCCTAAGTGAGTTGACTAGTTTTAATTAGTAACTATTAGTTTATGAAATGAATTTATATTCACTGATCCCACACTTTCTGGAAAGTAGTCTTATGGCATGTAAAGCGTTGTCCTTTGTATTGGTAGATGGCCTTGATCTTGAGAGTCAATTTTGTGGCACAGTTGACTTTTTCCATTTTGTTTAGGAAATGAACACTTATTCTACAAGATAGTATTGTAGTTACAAGTTCACAGAGATAAAGTACTCCCCATCTTCTGGAAATCCATGAATGAGCCACGCTACCTTCAGTTGTCAGAGGTATTGAGGCAGAAGTTCAGAACTGCAGTCAGGCTGTATGAACACATAGTTGCAGGTTTGGAGAATAGGATAGCCTATGGCTTCCAAAGTTGTTTGCTTGAGTAAGGAGCTGTGTCTGAACGAAAGATTTTTCTGATTTCCCATTTATGTGTCCAGTGTCTGTGATGATTGAAGATGAGGTCTTCCCTTCATCCATAAAGCAGAATACTTCAGAGTGTTGTTAAAAACTTTAGACAAAATAAACTTAATGGAGTTTATTTGAGCAAAGAAGGATTCACAAATCAGATAGCACTCAAAACCAGAAGCGGTTCAGAGAACTTCAGTTGAGCAGCGTGAGCCAGAGACTTTTATAGGCTGACTGCAGAAGCAAAGTAAAGGAATTACTTGATTGGCTGTAGCTAAGTGTTTGCCTTATTTGGGTATGATGCAGCTAGTTTTACATTTGTGATTGGCTGAAACTCAGTTTACTTGCTTTTTGTTTGTTTGTTTGTTTGTTTCCAAAATTAATCAGTTACAAGGGATTTCTTTAAGTTAAATTTTGGTCTGGTTGTGTAAGGGTTCCTGGTGTGGAAGCAACCCTAAGCTAATTGGCCTCCATCTCTTTTGTTTTAACAGTAATAATAGCAGTTCTCAAAAGTATGGTCCAGAGAGGAACCTGATACTCTTGTTTTCTTCTCAAAAATGTGCTCCAGGAAACCTATACGCTGTTTTTTATAATGTGGTCAGGCATGGTGGCTCCTGCCTGTAATTCCAGCACATTAGGAGGCCAACATGGGTAGATTGCTTGAGTCTAGTAGTTCAAGAAACCCTGTCTCTCCAAAAAAAAAATAAAAAATTAACCACACATGCTCATGCATGCCTATATTCCCAACTACGCAGGAGGGTGTGGAGCTCAGGAGGTGATGGAGGTTGCAGTGAGCTGTGATCGCACCACTGCACTCCTGCCTGGGCGAAAGAGAGAGACTCTGTCTCAAAAAAAAAAAAAAAAAAAAAAAAAAAATTCACAATGTTACTGAGACTTATTTTCCTTCTTCATTCACATTTTCTCACAGTGTTCAGTGGAGTTTTCTGGAGGTCACTCAGTATGTGATATTGCAGTAAATTAAATGCATATGCACATATGAGAATCTAGCAGAAATTAAAGAGATTTGCAAGTTAAAGAATACAACTATTTTCTCCAAATAAGTCTTTAAAAAAAAAGTTATGTTCACAAAATAGGTTTTTTATTGTTTTTAAATTAATATTTTAAAAATTTCTCTTTTTATTTTTAATATGAGAACTGGTAGATACAAATCACAAACAAAAGATGTTTAAGGTCCTCAATAATTTATAAAAACATAAAAAGTCTCCATTTTATACGGATATTTGTTGATCCTGAGACCAAAAAGTTTTAGAATTGATGGCTATTTGTTGAGGAGTTTATGATATAACTAAGCTGTAAGTCATCTGTTTCCATGCTCAGCCATATTTGAGATTGTAGGTTATAGTTTTTAAAACTTCTTTCTCTTGGTCTTTCTAAATCAGGCTTTTATTTTCACATATTGAGTGTGGCTTCTGTTGATTATGTTAATTAGTTGAACAACTGTTGATTTTTTTTTTTTAACATTTTTAAAGTAAGTAGGTTTTTAGTTAGTAAATGTCTTTCTGAAAGCTTTCAGTTCTTCCATCAGTAACAAAACTAAAGGTCACATGGATTGG